ATTATTGATCAGAAGGTGCTCCTAAATTTTTTAATTAGGAGGACAAGTGCTCCTGACTGAAATTATACACTAAAAATTAAACAAAATCCGCCAGCAGGTGGCGGCAAGTCACTGATTTTATCACTGAATCATTCATTCAATTAATTTGGTCGAACGGCTGAATCATTCAGGTATGAAGCAAGTGACTGTCTTTATGAACTGACGGAAATCCGTCGTAGCGACGGAACACTTTAATCCCTGCAAAATACAACATGAATGATGTCTTGAGGTGTGTTAACTGTGGTATAATTGACTCCGGTCAGTTGAATTATTGGAAAATAATGCACACCCGAAGTGTAACTCCGATTAGCGTTGTGGCTGCATCACCACCTCGGGTGTGGATTATTTTCTAATAATTTAACGGCCCGTCATCAATTATTCCTTACATAAACTAATGACAGATTTTGTCTTTAAATGTGTGTTCAATTATAATTTGTTTTAAATGCATATTATATATGGACCACAAAACCAGTCTCAAGTCGCTGGGGTATAATTGTAGCAATAGCCAAAAATACATTGTATTGGTCAAAATTATAGATTTTTCTTTTATGCCAAAAATCATTAGGATATTGAGATCATGTTCCATGAAGATATTTTGTAAATTTCCTACTGTAAATATATGAAAACTTAATTTTTGATTAGTAATATGCATTGCTAAGAACTTCATTTGGACAACTTTAAAGACTTTGTCAATATTTAGATTTTTTTTGCACCCTCAGATTCCAGATTCATCAATGGAAAGCTTGTTTATTCAGCTTTCAGGTGATGCATTGTAAATTTCCTACTGTAAATATATTAAAACTGAATTTTTGATTAGTAATATGCATTTAAGAACTTCATTTGGACAACTTTAAAGGCGATCTTCTCAATGTTTTGATTTTTTTGCTCCCTCAGATTCCAGATTTTCAAATAGTTGTACCTCGGCCAAATATTGTCATCAATGGAAAGCTTATTTATTCAGCTTTCAGATGATGTATAAAACTCAATTTCGAAAAATTGACCCTTATGACTGGTTTTGTTGTCCAGGGTCACATATATTTTTTAAAAAGGGTTGATATGCAACAATTGCAAAAGTAGCAGCGATTAGCTAAAAACAAACATTTGCACATGAAAACACAAATCAGTCAAATTAGTGTCGCTACTGTTTGATAACTTTCACTTACATTTGGATTTAGTGACACTTTTGGGCAGATTTGTTGCAATATCATGGTTCTTGCTAAAGCACTTTGAGATAATAATTTCCTGTCACTTGCATAACTTACCTGCAGAAGCAAGATAAAAATGATTTCACAGGTAATTTTTTCAATGGAGACAAAAAGAGCAACAACCAGAGTAAGTAAAAACAATATGGTTTCCAATGCAGAATTTGAGTTTTATTGAGAGGTATTCAGTAAATAATTTCCTAAATATTTAGAATTTTATCACAACTACTTTCGTTCAGCTAAAATTTGAAAAGTTAACAATCCTGTAAATTTTATCATAGTTTATCGTTTTAATATTGTGAAATGGTTGCGGCTAAAATAAATTTTTCTTTCAACAATACAATACTCATACTGTCTAAAATTTTACCATTAAAAGATGAATAACAATCAATTCAGTCATTTTGTGCTGATGTGAATAATATGCATTTCTTTCTTTTTTTAATTTCTTTTTGCAGGGATTTATTCCAGACAGGAAAGATCAAAAGGGTCGTCAGGCTTAAGTAATCGTGTTGTGTGTATTATGATGGATCCTTCAAACTTTATGAATGTGTTAAAATTGCTGTCCAGATCTAATATTAAGTTAGCTGGTCCACTCCTAGCTTTGTTAGTGGGTTTACAGATATTAATGGATGTAAAGTTCTCATGCCCATGCCTTGTTGGGTGGAATACAGCTATATCAGTTTTAATCTTTTTTGTACCTGTTCCCATTGCTATTGTTATAATGCTCCTATTTTTCAAGCTTAGAGCACAGGGCACAAGTTGAACATCTCAAGCACAAGGCAAGTGTGGAACTGAGTGGAATTGAACAACGGTTGTGATTTGTCTGGTTCCATTTGTGGTGTGGTTATGTTTATGTTTAATTGATGGGGATTATATTGCGTGTGCAGCGACATACTGGAATGGAAAGTATGCCTGTGATGATGAACTACATCCAAATTGTTTGAATTGGTGCAAACCCACTGAATTAAACCAAGGAATAACTGAGACTGAACTATATAACTACACACAAATATGGATTACTATATCAAAGGTAAATATCACAGGATTCTCAGCCCATGCACTTTCTTATACTGTATATGTAACAAGTTTAAGACTGCATTGTTTTTTTATTATATTATTATTGTACTAATTGTAATACTAACTCTATTTAATCAAATTAAACCCACAACACAGCATCTGAACCAACAGCTAAACAAACGTATAGCTGTGTGAGTCCAACTGTTACGCCTATTACATTAAGTACAAATATACTCAACCATTTAAACGTTGTATTGTATTTTTAAAGTTGTATGTAATTAAATGTACTTAATTCATTGGCTGTTTTATTGAATGTTTCATTTTTTTTATACCCAGGTTACAGGTTATTATCTGGCTTCTGTTGTCTGCATTGTAGCAATTATTTATGTGACTATTGACTACTGCAGAATTAGAAATTCTACAATAATTGGGGAGCAGCAAGACCCAGAGGATCCTACATGTGGGGGAAAACAAGACCCAACAAATCCTACAACAAGTGAGGGACAGCAAGACCCAAAAGATCCTTCAAGATGTCTGAGAAAGCAAGACCCAACAAAACCTACAAAGAGTGGGGGACAGCAAGACCCAAAAGATCCTACAACAAGTGGGGGACAGCAAGACCCAACAAAACCTGGTACAGTGAGTGAGGAACATCTAGCAAGGGCACAACAGGAGCAAAGCAATAACAGCTATCACATGACAGATGCTGAAGACCCAACAGAGAAAGACCCTTTTATAAAGCAGTAATGGCCTTTGCTCTGTTTCACTTGTTTAAAATGAGAGAAACCACAGCCTATTTTGAATTCAATTTCACTTTTTTTGTCTGTAAAGGGAAAGTGAATTAGACATTTAAACTTGAAACTTTACAAATTGGCCAATTGGGGTAACTGGAGTTCGCCCAGGACAACACGCAAGTGAGAACAGTCACTGTTCACTGGTATACGCTTCTATAATTTAGTCTACTGAGTAATGGCTGTGTTCTTGCATAACTAACTCTTCTTTTTTTTTTGAGTCTCCTGGTTTGATTTAATTTCTTTAATAGGTGATTTGGTGAATAGGTGGATTATTTTTTGCATGCAAACATGTCATTGCTCTCTTAAATAATTATTTTTGCATGTTTTGCAGTTTGTTGTTTGCAGTTGTTTGGAGCTAGTTTTAGTACAGTTGAGACTTTACGAAAACTATTACATGATAATGAAACAAATGAAATAGATCATGAAAGTTTGTTCTGAAATGCTTTTATTTTGTAGAAAATGGACCAAAGTCACACTTGTAAAATAATAATAATAATAATGAGCAAACCAGCGACAAAAGCAAAGAAGTTTGTATTCAGTCAAAATTACATTACTGCTGTAACATAACTTTTAATTTCAGTTTCAACTAACTAACATTTCTGCTTAGTGATCGTCTCTTTCACTTTCAATTGATTTGTGTATATAGTGCATATTTAAGGTAACAATGCAATAAATAATATTAATATTAATAATATGACAATATCTGTAGTCAATATTGATTAAATGGGAGGGGGAAATACTGCCCATACCCAGCTAGGGAAAAAATGATCAAAAGCACTGATGTTCATTTACTGAAATGGTTTTCCAGGAACTGTGAATAAATTATCGAGCAAACTACTGCAGTATAACAATAAAACTAATATCACGGCTATAATAATATCCTCAGCAAACAAAAAAGAGATTACCTTAGATAAGTTTGATTCATATGTACATACAGTACCAGTCAAAAGTTTGGACACATTACTATTTTTTATGTATTTTCATCAAATAAATGCAGGCTTGATGAGCACTTTATTTAAAGAGACTTTCAAAAACATTTCCAAACATTTGAATGGTACTGTATAAGTAAAAATATGCTAAATTTAAAATGAAATGTTGTATAAATACAAAGGTTAGGAATCATAATTGTTTCAAGTGTTTTTATTGGGTGGGGGCTCTCCAACGTGAATTTTGCCTTGGGCCTCCAAATGTCTACCCGGTCTCATGGCAAAAACGTACCTGGGGGCACTTTTTCGCGAGGCGCGAAATACGTACCAATAAGTACATATCATTGCAGTTTCCAAAAGAAATGAACACTAGAGGCAGTAAAACTCCGACACCTTTTAAATTATTTTCACACAAAGTATGATTTACAGAGTTTCGATTAATAAAGGGTAATTTTCGCACAATTACTTAAAGAGTATTATGTTGTGACTTCAAAACATTTTTAATATACTGGGAGATTTGAAAACTGATGCTTTTGAATGTTAGCATCACACGTATCCAGCTTCATATCAATGGGTTTTCATACATAGACGATAGGTTTGTTCGTTAGCTCATGGAGTACGGATACGTACTTGAGAGGTGAGGATCTCCGTGTAACTACGGTTCGACAAAACAGTTCAAATGTGCATATAAGGAAGTTAAAATGGCACGGTTGCATCAAAAAATGTGTTTTTATATCAGTTTTGCATTTGTTAACACTATCGGGTAGGTTTAGGGTTGGGTTTGGTGTAGGGCATATTTCCACCATGATAGAGCATTAACTTTTAGCGACAGTCCCCGGATATTTTAATTCTGAATCGCCGCAATACGTACCTGATGAAACATAATAAAAACACAGCATTACGTACCTATATCAACGTAATAAAAACACAGCAATACGTACCTATATCAACGTAATAAAAGCGTGCCAGGGTTGATGTATTGAACCCGTGTTTTAGCGCCAATCAGTGGACATTTCTCTTTGAAACTGCGGCGAAACGTGCAGTAGGGTACGTAAAAACTGTGTTGCAGAAAAGTACCCAGAGGTATGTATTTTTATGAGACTGGATTGCCAAATGTCTAGAACCGGCCCTGTCTAAAGTTTGCTTAAGTCCTCTTTTTTTTCTCCATTCAAACATGCTTTACAGAAACAGACTATTCCAAGCAAATCATTTCACAAAAAGGTATTTTCCCCTTAAAAGAGACTTGCTTTAAGAAATGTGCACATTGCTCATTTGCAAGTTGCTCATTTGATGGTGCCCCTGGTGTGGCAATGGCAGTAGCTTTTGCCATTCCGGTTTTATTGTTGTAGAACCCATTGGAGCAGAACTCACTGACCTTTGTTGTCCATGTCCTGCTAGAGCAGATCTCCCTAACCCTTTCTTTTCTTGTCGCACTGTATCAGAACTGTCTAATTGCCATGGCGCTGCAGCAAAACCCTCTGCCCCTTGTTGTTTATGTTTTATTGAGGCAGAACTCCATGACTCTTGCTGTCCTGTTGTAGCAAAACTCCCTGACACTTGCAGTTCTTGTCCCATTGTAGCAGAACCTATTGGACATACACAGGAAAACTGTAAATATCAAAACTACATTGAATACAACATAATCATTTGCAGTCATTTCCAGTTCATTGTATTTAAGCCTTACATTTTTAATATACCTCATAATGCATTTGGGTCTGGTTTAACTCAGAAAAAAATAATAATAATTATATGATTCTGCAGTGCTGGAAGTATGAGGCAAAATAACAAAGAGCTACAGAGTTTAATTCTCCACTCTGTTCTTGAAAATTTCTCCTACCTTGTTCCTCAGTCTGTGTCCCTGCTGTTTGTCTGCAGTATTTTGGGCAGAAGTCACATTTTCCACTTATGTGGCAGTCATAAATAACCATTAAGGTTATTGTTAATACACTTAAGACAAAGCTTATGAAGTAACCTGTAAGCTGAAAGAACCAATACATAAAGAAAAATAAATAAAAATTAGATTTAAAAAAATGCTATTGACTTACTTTCTTCTGTGTAACATAAAATATATATTTTTAAAGGAGACATATTATGCCCCTTTTTACAATATGTAATATAAGTCTCTGGTGTCCCCAGAATGTGTCTGTGAAGTTTCAGCTCAAAACACTCCACAGATAATTTATTATATAATTTTTAAAATGCCTATTTTGAGTGGAAGCAGAAACACGCTGTTTTTCGGGCCTGTCTCTTTAAATGCAAATGAGCTACTGCTCCCC